AGTTTCTCCGTCGAAGTGTTTTCTAGATAAAGGAGGAGAAACATTCCATTCGAATCGAAAACGTCACGAAATATCAACAGGAAAATGATAATCGCGCCTTCGTTTACGTTGGTCACTGGGAAAATTTTTATGGTAACCTAAACCTGCTGGTACTAACGATACGAACGGGAACTTCCCGTGATAAAATATTTTTATTGCCCCGCTTTTGTCACGTTATTGAAGAGAGAAAGTAAAGTATAGTTTTGAGAAAATAAACTTAGTAGAGTCCAAGCAGAACTTTTTTTTTTTTTTTTTTTTTTTTTTTTTTTTTTTTTTTTAACAAATTGTACTTTTTTTCACAGTTCTTGTTAACAAGCATCCAAAAGAACTTTTAGGAATCATTCACATTTTTAAGAGTCACCAATTGTGATTGAGACTATGAAGAAGAGGCTTATTCATTTCATTATGAGCAAGACAGCGGTATGTCGTACGTGCCACTGTCTGTAAACGTGTCTGATTACGTTTTAAACCAACTTTAAGGTCAGAACTCGGTAGAAAAAGGTGCTAACTAACACACGGCTGCAGGCACGTAGCCGGGGGGGGGGCTTAGGGGGCTCTTTATTTTTAAAAGGGGATTACTTTTTAAAAGTGTGGATTACTTTTTTTATTTTTTTTTTAAAGAAAATTGTAATTTGTGATAATGTGGACTCATCACTGTTTTTTTTGAGAAGGCGTCACTTTTTGCGCATGTAAACAGCACTCTCGCAATTTATATTTTTGTTTTGCTAATGTAATAAAAATCTGCACTTTTAACAGAATTATTTAGGTTTTTCTAGGAGAGATCGGGTCCGTAATGATAGAGTGCGTCAGATAATGGAAGTCGAAAATGACATCGTGTTCAACGTCATGACCAAACAACTTGTTTGGTATGGTCATGTCAATAGGAGGACGGAAGAGAGGCTGCCAAAAAAGATGCTTGATTGGGTTCCTCCTGGGAGGAGACGTAGGGGACGCCCAGTGAGAGGTTGGCGACAGGGGGTGTTAAATGAGATAAGAGATTGTCAACTCCCTGATGACCTGTGGGAAGACCGAGCTTTGTGGCGATTAGGCGTCGCACAGCGCCAAAGAGCGCTATAAAAGCGACTCATATATATATATTTAGGTTTTTTAGATTAGATCAGTTGATCAAAGAAAACTTGCTCCCCTAAATTCCCAAGTTGCGACAGCCCTTAAAAACCTTTTAAAAAGCTTGCTTTTTAGAGGACACCTTTTAGCAAACCTTCAAAATTTATTCTCAGGAAATCCCTTTTTTGTATTTTGAGTAAAATTTAAGAACGGTAAAACTTAAGCTAAAAGGAGTGATGAAACTCTTGACCGATTTAACGCAAATCTTTAACCCTCAAAAAGTTTGAAAATATGTAAAAAGCTCATACAAAAGGAGTAATTTTTATTACTGTAAATTTCACTGGAAAATAGTTCAGAAGAGTCTTCTGTAAGCTATTACCTACCTATTTTCGTAAGAACTTTTGAAAATCGATTCATACTACCGCATTACTACTAGGATTAGGATGTCATTAGTTTCCTTATCGGTAACAGCAGTTTACTCTTCCCGTGAATAAGGTATACCTTGCATTAGGCTATGCTAGTTTTGCGTTGGGCATGGTGTCTATAATTCCTGAACATTCTCATTCCCTGATTCCCCTGATTTTCAAGGACTCATCCCCTGATTAGAGACCAAACTTATCTCTCACTTCCCCAGGATTTTCTTAAGAAGATTTATAAAATTCTCCGGAGTTGCAGATGTGAGTATGGATTTTATCATATTTCAGCCGATTCTTTGGCGCACATTCGAGTTTGAATTCAAAAAGTATTTTGATGATTATAATTATCATCTGATGAAGGAAAGCTTAAGCACTATCCTGAGGATTTGAAAATTCAAGAGGTCGATGAATAATGGGGCCCAGGTGCATGCATGAACATTTTCCTTAAAATTGTCTCTAGGTGGTAGAAGAGGAGATTCCCGGTTTCCGGAAGAGATTCCCTGATTGTTCCGGGAGCTTTTTTATTGGGTGATGAATGCCGGTTTTAGGACATGGAGTGAAGCTTTGGTTGGAGCCATGATGAATGGACAACGGTGGTTGTATGGTTGCGGGCAACTCATCATTGCGTGTCCACCTGGCCTCAGCCACTCAGGATAATCAGCCTGAGGATAATCAGCCTGAGGATAATCAGGAGGATAATAATCCTCCATCAAGTTGACCGTTCTCACCGCTCGTAGCCACGCTCATCGCCAATCGTCACCGTCCTACATCCTACTTAGACAGCTAAACGCTTTTCATCCCAATTTAATTAGAGCTTCAAAGACCTAAAGGATTTACACGGCATTTCCCCGCTAGAATCTCCTCCTTCACCAGACGCTCAAAAAATTCTCGTGTAAAATTATCTTTTCACCATGAACTTGCTTCCACGGAATCCTAACAAATTGCGTCAAGTTTCAATAATTGGAAACAAAAGGTTTTAAGTTAAGTTCCCCCATAAAACTAAACGTTCAGAACTAAGTTCAACAAAAAAGGAGAGGTATCTATAAGGGCCCTTTTTGAGTCAACCCCAGCTAAATCTCCTTCACTCTACGACTTTCTGCTGATTGAAGGTCGATTCAACGGTTTGTATTATGATTTGGTCATGTTCGGGTCTGATAATGGCCAAAACGCGGGTCTTAAAACCGATTAATGCGGATATTTTGCCATTCGACCGCAAAGTCACAAAAACGTGCATCGCCAAAATGATCTTTAGACCCGTGTTTAGGCCAGTATTAGACCCGAGAAAAAAGTCACACCTGTGTCTTGTTCTCTTTTCTCATACTGAGATGTACAAGCTCCTTCGTTTGTCCAGTTTTTTGTCCCTATTTCCATCCATTTTTCCCTTGGCCCTCCAGAGCATCTTCATTTTCATCTCCTGTATTTTCACAAATTTTTTGTCAATTTTACCTTGTAATTTTTCATGAACGGAGTATATGAGAGACGGCTGGTGAAAATACTTAAATTCAACACAAAATGAGGCTATTCCCGAAAATTGAGTATCAAAATGTTGATTTTCTCAACCGCTTTTACCTGCTTAGAAAAACGGCTGATGCCAAACAGATTTTTTTGCATGTGTTCCAAAATCTTGAAAAATCCCAAGGAATAAATTGAATATCCTGAAGTTCCGAAATTGGATTATGGACTTGTGTTGAAATGGCGTTTTCGGGCAATGAGGCAGGGCTCGTAAGGTATGAATGCGCTTGGCTAAAAGTCTGGAAATTCGTCTACAGGCACAACTTTTAGCATAATTTCACGTGGTTAGCACAGTGTTCTCCCCGAAAGGTTTTCCGATTACACTTTCGTATACCTGAATGAAGCCACATTTGCGACCGTAATGAGTCGCACTCCTGCAAATCGCACTTTCCGCCAATATAAGTAGCACGCGAGGCACAAAGACTTGCCGCTCAACATTTGAGAATTCGTCGGCAAACACGGTCCGCAAACGGTGTTAACGTTTGCCGCAGAGACTAGGGCTCAAACGAAGCGCACCCAACAACAATTTCGCATCCTTCAGATGAAAGTTCTAAGAAAGATAGCAGGTTCTGCACTTTGGGATCGGCAGATCAGCGAGTCCATCAGGGATGCTCTTGGGGTGCAAGATGTAGCCAAGTGGACTTGTGTGAAGAGAAGGATGTGGTCGGAGCACGTTGACCGAATGGATGATAAAAATAGCGAAAATTTGTATGGCCGGACAACCCTGGGGAAGAGATTACCTAGACGACCGCCTAAGAGATGGGCACAAAGCTGGCTCTTTTATCCTGAGGATGATATCAATGATTTTATGATGTTTTTATTGATTCGACGAGTCCGCTATTTTTAGTGATTTTTAGATTTTTAATATTTATATAGTTTATTGTGCTCGATACTGGATGGCCTGACAAACAGGGCTATGCCCTATTCGTTGGTGGAAGAAGAAGAGGAAATCCGCAAATACACATTTTCACGAGATTAGCAAATTTTTCCCCCCAAAAATGCCTTCAAATCCCCGCCTCCCAAACTTTGCCACATTTGCAGTTGTAACAAGTCGCATCACTCGTTTCAAATCCCGTTTTTCGTCGATCTAAGTCACAGGCTAGGAATAAATGTGTGCCATCAAAGACCGAGAAATCTTTAGTGTGGTTCAGCATGAGCAAATTTCGAAATAACAATGTCTCCATGCGTCAAGCAACTCGCGTTGTTCGGTGAGCCTACTTTTCTGCCTTGCGTTAAACTCTCTGAAAAGATTCATGCATTACGACGTACGATTAGAAATTAAATTCATTTGACTTTCATATTATACTAGGAGGGTACGCGACCCAACCCCCACAGGGCGCTTCGCACTTTCTAAGGCGTGCGTCGCAAACCTCCGTGAGTTAATTTAGGTAGAGCGGGCTCATCCAGGAGCTATCTCCTGTTGATAGTCACTAGAATCGTGAATATCGGCCTGATGGATTTCTAGAATAAACTATGACAAATAATGAACACATTTACATTGTTTACATTGAATTTTCACAGCTGAATCACGTAAAATAAGAAAAACCTGAATCATATATCCAAAATCTAAATGAAGGGAACTCATTCGGAGACTGCCACCTGTCGATAGCCACAAAAATAATGAAAATCGGCCCCTTAGAACGGTTGAACGAACTTTGGCAAAATACGAAAATTTAGGAGCTCAGAGAGATTAAAGTGATGAAATGTAATCGCTCTTGCTTACATTGAAAATTGTAAGAAAAGTCAAAGTCCCAGGAAAACCAATCAATCTCCTCTTAAATTAAGAAAGTTCCATGGCGATTAGTCAACTTTGATAAATGCGCGCTGTCTAATGATTTTACCCACCGGACCAAAATTAAAATTGGGTGGGAGCGAGCTTTTGATCGATTTTCCATTTTGAAATGTATGGCTTTTTATAAAGGTGCTTATACTAAGTCCTAGCAAAGAAATAAATGACTGTTTACTCACAGACAGTGTAAACTTCATATTGCGTCCAAAAACTGGTAAACTAACAAGACTCGAAAAAAAACCCACACTGAACTGAGACACAGTCACCCACTGAGCTTTTATAAGAAATTGAGATTGGGAGGATCCGAAAAAGCCCGAGTAAATTTCAAACGGGGACAAGCCCGGGTGCCCCCCGCCCTTAATTCCCGGGGGATCACGTACCCGTCTAATCATAGGGAAGGTATAGTGGACCTCTGGTTGCGCCGTTGCCGGCTTGGAAATCACGACTCTAGATCAATTTCCAAGATTTTCCTATATATTCATGCATTTCTTGACGACAAAAAGAGGAAAATTCAAGACACCTGCCGACTCATTATTGAAATTTATGGACAAAGCTATCAACAAAGAAGACATAGGGAGTACGGAACCATCCTATTGATGGAAACGGGTGGTTCCTATAGACAAAGGGAGAAAATGATAGACTAACTGTCGGGTCTCTCGTGGGTTGCCGTTACTCTTAGTCTATTACCTACCTCCTTTGTCCTTTGCAACCACCCGCTTCCACCAATAGGATCTCTCCATATCTCTTTTGTCTCCTTTGTCTATGGCTTCGTCTATCAATTTCACTAATCGGCCCGCGGGAGCACCAGGCCGAAAGAACACCAGGAGCGAAACGAAAGTTTCTTGAAAGCTAATTCATAGAAATGCCGGCCGCATAGTTTTTAAAAACTCAGATACCAAATTAACCCAGATTCTTGCTATGACACCGTAAGGATTCTATACGCTAAATACCCTTGTTTTCCCGATTTCGGTCATTTATAGCTCACTACCAATGTCCTTGCTGAAATTTTTATGAGTAAAAATTTATGCCGGTGATCCGATTGGACTTCATTTTCTAATAATTAAGAACTACAAATATCTGGCTCATTTTAGAAACAGCATACGTGGCGTTAGTTTCCCTGCGCTCATAGTTGTTTTTATGTATGAACCAGAAATTGTAGTTTCGTATTGCAAAATGCAAAATGGGACCCTCGTTAGAGTTTGGCTCGGATTGTTTGAAATATACCTTCAAGTTTCATAAATTATTATTTCCTTACTCGTATCTTCATTCATACTCTACCCTCTTATCACGGCCTATGCAATCCCGATTCACCTCGGAATGTAATTTGCGAGGTGCACTAAAAAAGTTGAATTTTGGGAGGAGCCAAGGAAGGTGAATATCAATTGAGGCCAGGAAAAAGGAGACTTCCTTTTTCCTGGCGTCACAGAGATAAAATGCCTCAGTGCGTACATTTGTGTATTAATGACTGATCGAGATTTATTGTTCTGCTAAAAACGTTCCTTTTCTAAGATTGGTTGCTTACAAACCTTAGTATGCCGTGATAGGTCCACAAAATAGCATGATATTCGAGATCGAAATTTCAAAGACATCCTTAACCTAGTATTATGAAAAAGAACTAATTTCGCCAGTCTCGAATATAATTCAGCAGTCTAACTTTAGAAATTGATCCTTGCAAGGGATTAAAATGATTTGCTACTGCAAATAAGTTCAAAATGTAGCGGAAAAATTTCCATGATTTTGAAAAATTCAGATTTTGTAGAAGCAAACTTACCTTTAAATTTTTAAAACTGCCCTATTTTTCAAGAACATTTTTAATATTTTTAGAGGCAATTTGTCGTTATCCCTTGAGAGGGTCTATTAACAATGTTGTTATACTCTTGAATTTTACTTGAGATCCGTTTAAATTGTGCTGTTTTATGATGCCTCGTCGAGGGTCAACTTAAATGAAAGCTTAATGAAAATGTAAACCACGTGGGACCCTCTAAGGAAAGGAGCTGTTTGAGGAGCAATTATGACAATACGATACTTATTCATATCAGCCGAGTCTCGTGGGGGCAAAATACGCTCCGGTGAGAGATGCCTCCGAATTTCACCCTAAGATTTTCTATTATGAGGCAACGGGAGAGAGATTTTAAAGAAGTAATGAAGTCGCGAAAAAGGGAAATTTTCATCTGTCGTCGAGAATTCGACGGTGAATTTTTTCGAATTGGCAACTTGGAGTAGTTGCTTTGCAGATTGGCGCTGACATAACCGTAAATCCCGAGTTAATCCATGGACATAATCCCATTTTTCTGCGAGTGTAGGAAGCGCCCTGGATCATGTTTGGATAGGCGACGATGGCACGGCCCACGGAGCGCGCAATGAGAGGCTAAATTAAAACTAATTAATCTTCAGCTAATACTGGAGTAGAGCTAGGAAACACCTCATTATTGAGCGGCGAAAGGTGCGAAATTTTTATTTGTTTCTCCGTTGCTAGATGCCAGCCACCTTGATTTCCTTCCTTGTCGTCCAGGATCAGACATCCTAAACGCGCATAGTATATCCCATATATATGGCTAAATTTTAAAAAATACGTTCGGGGGAGTCGTGAGTCTTTTATCTTCACCATGTAAAATTTACTCATGCTAAAGTACACCCTTTTCAGGTTCTATTCCATAGATTTCCAAAAACCTTTTTTCCTTTGACTCCTTAGACTTTCTTCGCACGGCTCGTCTGAACCACCTTTAAATGGAAAGTCGATGACACCAAGAAGTCTCTTCGGGAGCTTGAAGTAGGATGCAAGTACTGTCATTTAAGCCAAAAACGAAAAAAAAATCTGTCGGGCTCTTCGAAAATAAAAGCTATTTTTATGTTAAATGCGCGTGGTTTTTTCAAAAAATTAAGTTCCCCTAATTTTCGGGGAGGAAAACAAGGACAAAAACGTTAATATTACAACATCATATCGTTTTACAAGATTTTAGCTTTCTAACGAGCTATAGATTTTTAAGTTTGGACCACTGGTTTGCGAGATAATAGATTTATACCGTTGCGCAATGACGACGGTTAAGAAGCTTGACCTAAGCTAACGTATAGTTATAACCATTCCTGGGCGGAAACTTTAGTATTGCGTGGGACGATGATGGATGTAAGAATCGGTACCTATGGCTGTATTCTTTGTCTTGTTATCTAGGAATAAAAAAATGACGTTAAGGTGATTCGACGGAGGCCATTTTTTGTGTCAGAGCGACGTGCAGTGTATCGTATCGATTCGTTCCAAAATTTCAGCTTCTTGTCATTTATTTCACACATAGATTGTCATTGTCACAGATATGTCGCACGCCGCTCTGGCACAAAGAATGACGTCCGTCGAATCACCATAACAGCCGCAATTTTTCAGACAAAACCTCCTTCCGTTCAAGATGGCGATCAAAATTTCTGCCGCACAAGGAAAAAAGGCAACTTGTTACGGCAACGAGGAAGTGGGTGCTCTTGAAAAGAATGTCTCGACAGTAATCTAGTGATCGGAGCTTTGATTCTTTGAATCGGCGATTCACTCCTAGAGTGATCATTGAGGGTGTAATGCTAAACTTACGAAAACATCCATCGAACTACAATAACCTAGAGTTTCTGGGAAAATGCGAGGCTTACGACCGTTTTTAATTCAAACCTATACACCCCAAAAAGTTACGAAAAGATAACTATTCTCACTCACAGATAGGTTTGTTGCCTATGTGGTAAAAGTGAAGGGGATTCCAAGCGTACGGTACATGACTATAGGTTCACAAGTTGTATGTTGGTTATATCAAAGCTTCTAAAGCGTGATAAATGAGTGTTTTATGAATAGATATTCATTTTGGTGCTCCTCAGTGGGATTGTTGCCTGTGCGGAAATATTGAAGGTGAACTTCAAGAGGTAAATACCTAGAATTACGTCATTTCATTTCTTTAGCGGTTCAATACAAGCTATAACAGTGATATGAATGTAAGGTTTATATTATGTAGGCTTTTAATTCGTTGCGATTACGCCCCAGAAGGGATGTGATGTCTATGCGCTATAGTGGAAGGCGGACTTATAAAATGGTGGATCTCAACCAACGTAATCATAGCTCATCGTTTATTAGTTCAGTTCAAGCATTCAGAGGTATAAAGGTGTGCTTTTTGAACAGGACCTTCTAATGGACTTGTTATCTTTAATAAAAAATAACAATTACGAATTAAATGAGGATATAATAATGAATAATACAAGTGAATAATTAAAATAATCTCAAGATGCCGTATGATCTAAGGATGAATGACAAATGGTCATTTTGGTCATTTAAACTACATCTTGGTATGATTCATTATTACTTTAATTTTTATCAAACAATATAGACACAAAGTTTGTAAACCATGTTTGTTTTATTAGCAGAAAATTGGAAGGAAAACTTCACGTGGTCTATACATATCAAAAAAAGGAGATTAAAAACTCCTCAGGCCCTGTAAGACGTTTGACTGCATTGGTGGTGAAATTACAGAAGTGCGTATCTCGATTTTTGACAGTCTTGCATTAGCTGCATAAACGTGTTGTTGAAGATGTCGTCTATCTGCCAGCGAAAGATTATAATCGAAACAAATCAGAAAGCCGCCTACACCCGTAAAACTTTTCTCGCGTATCTCGGGCTTCAGTGGAGAAATGCGTACCTCGTTCTGGCCCCTTCATTTGATCCGCCGCGCATTATGCACAACGCGCGCTCGCGCCCCTCAACGTTTCCTGCCAACAGCATACATCAGCCGATTAGCTGCTCTATTATTGTCATGGGAACGGAGTTTTGTCATGGGAACGGAGTTCCCCATGATATTACAATCGTTCCGTTGCTTTCGCAATGGGATTCCCTATACCTCTGCGACCTTGAGCGTTTCGCCCAGTCTCCGATTTTTGGTTGATTTTCCGATGTATCAAAAACCGTTGTATTTTTTAGCCAATCATGTCTCTACGTCAAGTTGTGTTGANGAAGATACTACAAACGAACTGTACCTTAACATTTTCATATCCCAGAAGCAAAAGTTCCCATGACGAATATTGCTATCGCTAGCGATTGCAAAAACCAACTTGTTTTATTTATTTTCAGGAATTCGCTGCTTTTGAAAAGTTGCTAAATGCCTATCTCTCAAAGGCCCTTCAGTATCATTTCTTCATCGGTACCTATTACCAGCAGCGTGCGGCGTTCATGTCCATTATTCATATCCTCTCTGGGCCGAAGCAACCATGAACTGACGGTTCATCACAACGGTCGGTTGTATTAGAGCCAATCGAGTCATAAAATGCTTCATCCACCGTATTGGATCAACTGAAGCTTCTAAACAAGTTTTAAGTATGAATAAACTCTATTTTTGATCTTACTTATCAAGAGCAGGTTCAAAACGCTAATTGCAGAAATGCGTATCTCGTGATCAAATGTCATTTTACAATCATACAATGCTTGATTCGGCCGTATAAGATCAAACTAAAGCTTCTGATAAGAAATTGTAAGCGTGAAACTCTTTTATAGTCTTTAAATGATCAAGATCCGCCAACAACAGGTTAAAAACACCGATTACATAAGTGCGTACCTCGTGATAGTGTCAATTATTAGTGCCGAAAACGCAAATCTCGGCATTTCTGCCATATTTATTAACAGTTCGAGAAAATATTTACAATTCTGATAGCGTCTGAAAAAGCATTAACTTATTCTTGCTGTCCTTTAGAATGATTACCCCTCTCCTGACAATAACGAGGGGAATGTAGACTGTTCTTTTGCCCTCCTGGTAAATCGTGTTTTCCGAGATACGCACTTCTGCACTTTCACCACCGATATAGGTACTCGTACCTAATAGAGATTTCCAGGACACTTTTCATGGTTTCATCTCTTATTAATTCCAACATTTGAATGGGAATGTAAAGTTCTCTCGAAAGCCTTCAAATTCAATGCTCAAAAATGAATGATTTGACTCTTCTCAAGAATGATTCCTAATCTGATCACTTACGTAAGTGAGCAGCAACAATTGGGAGTGACACTTGGCCTCTTGCTGGTTACTTACACACATAAACATTCAAATACTTGAGTGAAAGAAAAAGCCTTTAGAATTATCGGGCTTAATTTTTCTTCACGGTGTTTGAACTCGTAGAGATAAAATTCTCCGAGATACCCTTCGCTTATTCATCTCTTTACATGTAGGTATGCAATTTTTTCCCTCTTTGGTCATCTCTAGAGGCGATTTGTTAACTCTGGAATAATTGAAGCTGCAACCTGAGTTTCATTTCAAACTCTCTCTCCCATTTGTCTCCCTCTTCTTTCTTCTTTATTTCCTTTTCCATGTCTTTATTCCTCTTCCTCCTCTGTTTTCTCTTCCCTCATTTTGGGAGTCTTAGAATAATGCATCCCGCTCCTTGTCCTCCACAGGTCGTTACTGACAGAGAACATATTCTCAAATTTAAGTTCGCCTTCAATATTCCCGCATAAGCAACAAACCTACCGGGGGAGCACGTAATGCATAATGCAACCTATTTGTAGGTGTTGTCCAATGGAGGTTCGCCTTCAGTTTCACCAGATAGGCAATAAACCTATCGAGGAGCATGAATAGGTATCTACTCGAAAAGCACACATTAATGTGAGCGCAGTTCTTAGTACAATTCACCATAAAAACTTCAATTCATGACCTCCAAATCCGAACTTATCGATCTTTTCGAAACCAGCTGAGTTTGCTGTTTTACCGCTTCGTGACTTACAATCAGTGGCGAGGCGTGAATGATCAACTATCGATATTTCTCCATTTGAAGCTATGGTAAAGAATCAATTATTAAGGTGTTCGATACGAACAACCTGTCTATCGATCCTTTCCCATAGGTTTAAATGGCAAATCAATCGATACATCGCAAAGCACGCCATTCCACTGCTTACAATCTCATCTCCAAAAAGCTGTAGGTACGAGGAATGTAGTGGTAGTTAGAAAGTGTTTATTGTATAGAGGTGCCTCAGCAACTTTGCACCTCTGCGATTGAAGAGCAAATTTCGTAACAATTACATTTTAATGCCAAATTTGGCTGGCTAAGCTGCATAGAACATGGTAATTGATAAAAAAAAAACTAAAATAATAACCATTAATAATAACTGAAATATTACTTGTTCAATTTATTTTTGGCTTGGAGCTCGATTTTTTTAATTAATTACGAAACATGTTTCGTATCAAACTAGGTAAATTGTTACCCGGGAATATTGGAAAGAGGAACGTAAAATTTAGAGGATAGAAAAAAAGACACGATAAAAGAAAATAGTAATAGAATACTTGAAAGGGAGAAAAGAAATACGAGAAGGTTGGTTAATTGGCAAATACGTTTATTTAAAGTGGCTTAATAAAACGAAATTATGAACACCTTAAAGAAGATAGAGCGATAGAGAGAGAAAGAGTAATAATAAGTCAAAAAAGGGTAGGAAAAGACAAATAAATAGAAAGGAAGAGTGGGAAAGAAATTCGCTCTAATAATGAGGAAAGGAGAGAATAGATCGAATTTAGAGATTAGTTTTCCTGAACAATGAAGGTATTTGGTTAACATATTTTGATAATATGGTATTGAAATCAGCAAAATGTGGAGCAGTAGTATTAAAATGAGTTTACTTATACGGGATGCCTTAACATCGGAAAAGTATTAATGAACGAAAGGATAAGAGTGGTTGGTTGGTAGATCCGTTTATTTGGTGATATTAACATCTGAGTCATTAACACCGTACAGGAGAGATCAAAATAGTGTAGTACAGACTTTAAAAACATTAAAAAGTAGGGGTCTCAAAAGGGTAGTACACAAAATTAAAAGATAGGACTAGGAAAGAATACATTAAATTTGGAGATTAATTCGTTTGAAGAAGAGAGGGATTTCATGAGAAAACTTTGAAAGTAAGGATATTGAGATCAGAAAGTGGAGGGAAAATTTTATGCGACAGAATAGATACGTCAGACGACAGACAAGGCACAAATAGTAAATGAGGAAACATATAAGTAAAAGCTTGCGGACCAAACTGATTGATTAATTAATGAAAGCACTTTGTGATCGCCCATCATCACTGTGCCAAATTACCTATTTCAATTGTGTTATCCGGTCGAAGATTTCATGCAATTCCATCATCTGACGTATAAAATTTTCGTCGTTCAGCATCTGTCTCACCGTTTTGAGCCGGGACATCAACAAATTGTCCGGCCAGTTCAACCGTTGGTTGCTAATTTCGATTGCATCCGCGTACTTTTTTTCCATCTGGAAGAATTACAGGTAGATTGGACGTTATGAGTCTTAAGGGGCCGAATCAAAAACTGGCAAAAAAAAAAATGAATAAAAAAAACTCCTTGATTGTAATGGCCAATGAACTGCAGATTAACAGAATGTTGGTAATTTTTTCCTACTTCTATTAAAAAATTTATAAAAGATTACTTGAGTTAGGTGATCCCAGAAAAATAAACTTTATCATGAAGGATACATAAACCTTGGCCCTTGAAGGGGCTAAAACCGGAAAAATAGCTCTTTTCTATGTGCCATTAACCTCGGACTCCAATCATCCGATGATTTCTTTTTCTTTGTTAGAAGATCAGTATAAAAGGATTTGTATTCTTTTCATTCTTCTTAGATTTCTTTAGTACAAGTATCTAGGTACAGAATACGAAAAAAAGAAGATTCGTATAAATTCGCCTACGAGGACGTGTACTGAATATTTCCCGCACCAAAAAAAAGTAAATTGCATGATTAGGGTCCAAGAAAAATGTAATAGACGTGAGGTCTCTTTTTTCGGGTTCAGCCCCTTCAGGGTTATGCAACCTGCTTGAATTTTTCTTCCTTCTATAATGTCCTCAACTTACAGTCTATCGGCAAGAGCGCTCTTATCGTAACTTTTTCTTGACGGAACTGTTTCGGTAGCTTACCAATAACCGATAGAACAGCCCTCCTAACGGCTCGTGCCGAAGGTTTTAGATTTAATTTTTTTTCTTGTATTGTTAAGAGTCAAGATAACAAATTGAGTCTACTTTACTTGAATCCTTCTACTCTTATTTTCTTTGACGTCTATTTAAGAAAGGCCCTCTAAAGCATTTCGGTGTAGCTTTTTGTCAACTTACATAAAAAGCCGATATACTTATTTTATACACTCGCGAAAGTGCAAAAATTGAACATTTTTCTTACAATTATACTGTAAAAACGTTATTGAAGATAAACACATTGGCTCGACCTTTAGGGAAGAGAGGAAAATAGTACGTTGAAATCCAACCATTTCATATTCATTCACTCACAAATAATATTACTGAGGTTCAAGCTATGTTTGAAACAAAACGAGAAGAAATTAAGAGTTCATACATACCGGATCAGAGCCAAAGGTTTCGAACGGTATTTGAAACATTTGCGGGGAACCATCTATTGTGTAAAAGAGAGTCAGTGCTGTGCCAGGGGCTTTTTTAGGATCAGAAGGGATTGCAAAATACATCCCGGTGATTATTTGGCCATTTTCATCCGTCGACAACAATGCACGAAAATTGAAACACAACATTCTTCTTTCGGTCACATCCACAGGCGAGTAAAATGGTTTGCCCACATAAAGTATCCTTTTCAAAGTTCTTTCATTAGGCGTGCCTATATTTTCTGTAGCGACCCAAATGATGTAATCAGATCCACTGAATGAGTACTCGTGCTTGTTTATGCGGTTTAAATCCTTTTTCTGGGTGAAGAGTCCTGATTTAAAACATAGTTTTCGATTAAAACTTCAACACAAAAGTGGTCAATGGTAAGAGAAGAGAGATGAAACAGTAACAACAAATCATTGATCATCAATCATCATCATCATCATCATCATCATCATCATCATCATCATCATCATCATCATCATCATCATCATCATCATCATCATCATCATCATCATCATCATCATCATCTGATTCCATAAGCCCGATCCTCAGGGTTAAAATTCAGGGGGGACCCGGCGGGCCGATCCAAGGTGGTACCGGCTTGACCGTTCCGGTCCCGCGATGGCCGGAAAAACAGAGGGATCGCGTGGCGGGCCCCGCGCCGCGCCCCTTCCACCCTCTCAAAGATCGCTTATCCCGTTCGTCCCGTCGGGAGATGCGCGATTTTTTATTAGTTTCGGGCGCTTTTTTTTTTTTTTTTTTTTTTTTTGGTCAGCGGATAATTCGGCTGCCAGAGGCGTTTGTCGTCATGAAAACCGTCGTGGTTGATGGATTTACGGCGGAAGTGTACTTCAAAATGTTACTTAAATTAACTATATTCACAAAACGGGAAGTTCAAAGATCAATTTTTGAACAAGATATAAACAAATCGATGACCTAAGTACGAAGCCACGGTTCGCTTTTTGCAACATTGCAGAAGCAGACTCCTTGCCATACTCAACATAGTTCATTTAAAACTTGTTAATTTTTCTTCTTCTTTGGCAACATATATTTTATAAATATTATATATATAAATTCTTTCTCATTTAAAAAAAAAAATGAAAAAAAAATGAGTAAAGAAGAAACAGGAAAATGTCCACACTCCCTCGATCCCAGGATTGTAAGCTCGCGGTGTGAAGACCAATAGGAAACGAGGATGTCGATCGCTTGACGCCAGGCTCGAGGGATCGAAATCCTAAGCCTAGATTAACTCCTACCCATGGTAATAACGTTGTAATGAATAAATTCAACCTTTCCGCTCATGAAAGGAAGTATAATTTTTGCCGCAATCACACGCTGAATGTAGAAGCTGAATGTGGCTTGAATGTGGAAGTCATCGGCCCGATGCCTGAATTTTGCGCAAAATTCAGCAACGATTCTCAGCAACCATCGGACTAATGTTGAATTTGTCTGAACTATTCGAGTAGATTTGATACACATCTGGATGGAAATAACTCGAATTTGCTAAATTTCAGCTGTTGGGCGATGACTGTTGACTTGCACATTCAGCTGCTGAATTGAGCGTGTGATTGCGGCAAAACTTGGGTTAAATTGCACGCCAAACGTCCCTCTGAGTAATATGAAAATACGGCAACCTCAATCTTGACGCTCAGCTCAAGCTGTACACACTTTGAACAACTCAGTGTGGCAAAGAAATAATGCTCGATTGAGTAGTCTGCTAAAGCCGTTGTAGTGCCCAATTTGACTCGCGTAGGGTTTTGTTTTTCTTGTGACCGGCCAATACAGAATTCCCGTAACCAATGAACAATAAAAACGTTAATATCTTTGCTAGAAGTTGATCTCAGTAGTTTTCGTCTCGCCAATTGTAGTTCACGTGAAATTCTGGTGAAGATTCGTGTATCACAGTGCATAAATTCGTACCTTGTTTCGTGGTCCATTCAATCTAAAAAAGCACACATGGAGGACTTTCTTCACTTTTCTCAGCAAAAATATTTTATCATGAGAAACGAGGCAACATTGGAATGATCATACGGCGTCAAAACACAACATGGGCCCTTTGAGCCCTCTTGTTTGATACCGCGATTATCCTGACGCGAGTTCAAAGAATCGCGCCAAACACGGTGCGGTCGGCGTCAAACTCATATTGGCGCCTGCAAGACTGTAGGAATATACTTCACACATTGCGCCAAACAGTGCGGTCGGCGTCAACCGCATATTAGCGCCTACAAGACTGCATGAATACTTCTCGCACTGTACTAAACGCATTGTGAGAGTTATTTGCAATAACTATTTGTCTACGGGTATAGGCAAATTGCCACTACCTGGATTGAAGGCGCATCACACCGTGAAAATGACTCGACAATCGACCGCGCTCCCTTCCCTGGCTTGCGCGACGCTAAAATCGCCTCAAAACTAGGACCATGTGTCATTTCCTTTGACGGCCCCTACCCGGTTTTTACCATAATTAAAGGGTAAAAATGTATTTGAATTGCAACGATTCAGAAATTTGGACGTTTTTTAAACAATTCTTCGATTTTGAAACTTGATTCGCGTATAATTAATTTTGGCTTAATAGAAAGAAAGCAAAACGAGCGAATACATCGCGTCGAAATGTTTTGCGATTTAATTTTAAATCATTCCGAAAATTTATCAGAAACTCCGAAAAAACTTGGTGTGTAGCTTTTTTTTTAAAAAAAAAAAAAATATATTGAGAATGTAGTGATCTCAGCCTCTCTTGCCGTTGACTTTACGTGTTCTTTAACGCTGACCACCATCTCAGATCTATCCCCAGGTGCAACTTGTTATTTTTACCATGACCATATGTTTCACGAAATTATTTAATTGATGTTTCGAACAATATTATTTCTGTAAAATCTTTAATTTCTTTTATCAAGAAATGCACGTCCTCACTTTAAAATATTGGACAATTTTTAAGATTGGAGTCTTATACAAATGGCAGGAAGTCAGCGTATCGGTTGCTTTTCACCGGATCAGGGACGAAACTGGTTCCGGGTTTAATTTTTCTAACACAAGAACATCGAATCGGACTACAAAATCACTTGAAAACTAAGCATCATCCCATCCGATCGGAAAATAACTGCGATAGTAACTGTCCGTCATTTCTAAGACCAGCATCCTGAACAGCACGGGATTTACGATTATTAATCCCTTAGGTGCAGTCTGTGGTGCCCCCCTCCCCTCCAAATTCACAATTTTTTAAAGAGGGGGGTCTAGAGGCCACGCCACCCTCAGAGAGATTTGAAATAACCTCTCCTAAAATCATTTTGAGAGACTTTTGTCACATACATTATAAGGGCAAAATAGGGAAAGACTTAGACCAAAAATATACCTCTCTTATTTTTCTTCTGGTGAAAGTTTGCGACGGACCAATTAAGAAGAAATGCCAGAGAGTGGATACAAATTTTAGCATTTAATCGAAGAAAAAATGAAAAAAAAAACCTTGCGGCGCAGGACTGCAGGCCCCTAGGCGCGCGCTCGGTGCGCCTGCTATATTATACATCCGGCCCTGATCCTGAGGATGGTTCAATATTTTATATCTTAATGCCAAAATCCTTTTTGTCGAGCCAACAACCACTGGAAACTAAGATATCCTGCCACTTCGTTGGTACCATTTTGAGATGAATTTTGAAATTTTTTTACATTTAGACTTCTCACGTAAGAGACAATATTTTCCCATGGACCTTTACCCTCTTCGTCTAAAAAAAAAGTCTTGGCTATGCCGAAGGTAAGTGAAATGTAGGTATGCATGCTCTCACCGACCCCCATAGCCGAAAATAAGCTTTTTGTTCCCGCCCTCTGAGACGTGGCGCGGGATTTGAATCTCAAAAACTTAGCGGTGTTGGCCGAAAACTAATATATGACCGTCGGATTTTTATGAAAATAAACAAATTCAGAGTGAGAAAATTTGTAAGGAATGTAGCTATTTGTCCTTTTTTCTCGACAGCAGACGGTTAAATTTCCTTTTGGCCAAACTTGTCAAAATTCATAACTCCCTCCTCGGCTCAAAAGAAGGAATAGAAAGCCGCGTTTTTCCCAAAGGGGTCGGGAAGAGCACACCTACGTTTCAGTTACCGTGGGCTAAGCCCTTGGCCGAGAATAATGGCGACGAAAAAATTACCTGTGTGCGGGTGGTTTCTATCTTCCATGACTGTTATGACGCTTGCGATTTGGAAACCAGGCTCGAGAAGTAGGACCCCATTTCTGTAAATGTTTCCGTATTTGATCTTGATATTCAAGGCAACCACAACGTGATATTTCTCCACAAGTGACGGCTCTAGATTTAGCTTTAGGTAACTTTCAAAATTTGGTACGCGCTTTTGTCCCGATGCTATGAAGAGTTTTTCTGTGAGGCCTGGAAAGCGAGACTCTAGGTTCCCGAGGCGGTTCATGAGTTCCAGCACTTGCCCAACACAGGTGTGATAATTGGGCCGTATCGGTGGGATGTACCATCGGATGAATTTGCCGAGTTCCTGTCGCTTGCTCCCTTTGTACGCTTTGTAAAACCTTAAACAAAAATACCAGGAGAGTTGGAACTGGAGTACATGTAGACTACATTTGGCAAATAGGACTTACAATTTCTATCTCGGTGTAAAAACAAAGTATGTAACATCAGTATCTCTATGGAAATACTTTGTTTTATAGATGGGCAAGAAATTTTAGTTCCTAATTCAGGGTTGCCACTATTTCTTCACCCTCAAATTCCCTGACTTTCCCCTGATTTTTTTTTGCATTTCCCAGACAAGTCCAAAATGTTCTAATACCCTGAGTTTCCCTAAACTTTGAACAAAATTCTATCTTTTTTTCTTCTTCTTCTTTTTTATATATACGCTGATTTTTCCTGAAGTGTCGACTAAATTTCCTTGTTTAGAAATCAAATTGTGGATAAAAGAATTCAGAGGCGGGGTAAAAGATGACAAGCCTTAAAAAATGACCAGAAAAGGTAAACAGTTGGAGGATCAGTGATTAGAACTGAGACTAGAGGAGCTCTAGCGATTAGAGGATGCGTTAGAAATTCCCTGATTTTGTCCACAAATTCTGTGACTTTTTCCGGTCGTCGCCAATTCCCTGATTTTCTCGGTTTTCCAGACCGGCGGCAACCTGATATTGTAAAAATGTAGTCCATTTTGTGATGGTTCTGCTGCACTCAAGAGATTCAGCCAAGTGGATAGGACAGACTTCCTATGGGTGAAATTGCCCGAGTCTGAAGAAGAGAAAAATAGTCTGACATCTCAGAAAAATTTAAAAAATAATAGTGAATGTTTCATGTTGCCGAACGTAATAACGTAAATCTGCCGTAAATAATGCCGAACGTAATCGGAAATATCAACGTCTCAATAAACGCGTCTAAAATGCGGCATTTTGAACTTTAAGCATCGTTACGTCCGGACCTTTATGGGTGTATAACAGTGTTCGAAACTCACAAGCGCCAACGCGCCAAATGCGCCTAGGAAATCGGTTATGACGCCTAAAAAATGGAGGCTCTGCGCCATTTTCACTAAGTTAATGCGCTGTGATGTATAAGCAGAAAGTGAATTTGACCCCAAAAAAGCCTCGATGGCCCCTAAAAATCGAGCTTGTTGCGCCCTAGGGCATCTGAAACTCAAAGGTGAATTTCGGACACTGCACTGAAAAAAAAACTCCGGCCGTGGGAGCCGCAATTACGAGCTATCTATCTATCTATACTATAAGCTCCGAGACCTCCTAATTTTGCGAAACTGGTGACGCTTAGTTCCAGCGTTCTACCGGGCCGATTTTCATGATTTTTGCGGCAATCGACGGGCAATTGTCTCTAGATAAGCCAACTCTTTTCAGATTTTCAAAATACGGCCCAGGTTTTTTTATATTACGAGGTAAAGTTGCGAATTCTCCCATTTAAACAATGTAAATTTATACTTTTTGTCATAGTTCGTTTGAGCGTTCTATCGGGCCGATTTCCATGATTTTTGCGTAAATCGACAGGTAATAGGCCCTAGATGAGCCCGCTGCAATCAGATTTTGGAAAAAGGACCCAGGTTTTTTTAAAATCACGTTAAAAAAGTGAGTGAGTTTACAGAATGCTCCGAGACTGCTACCGCTATGCGCGGGAGGATGCGCAGTGGTCAAGGAGGTTGCGTAGTAGCTGGGTAGCCTGCGCATCAGCTCTACACTTATCTACACAAGATTCGCATCAATCACTTCAAGCCGAGCGGTGGCCGAGTCGTCAAAGACGTCGTCAGCGTCCATTCAGATCATGGTGTGGGTTCGATTCCCGTCTCCCAATATACTTAATTATTACCTGATTACCAATATTCGTTGTTTTACTGCAATATTTCATCATGCAGTCATTCCAAATCGTGCCCTTTAGACTTCAAAAAAATGTTTGTTTCTTTATTCATCAAAACCAAAAGTTATTTCATTCCAAAAGTAAAGTATACCTCATATCGTAATTTTTTAGGGGAAAAATAAATAAAACTAACACCGATAGGAGGGTAAAAATAAGGCCGCGAAGCGGCCCATTGATGGCGCGGAGCGCCTTCAGGTGGTTGGGCCGCGTAGCGGCCAGGGGGCGTAGCCCCCTAGTATAGACATATCGTCCGTTCCGGGCTCAAATGTCGAAAATTCCGGCTGCTGGAGGAGTAGCTTCGATTGCTCCGGGTTCAGAGGCCGAAGTCACGGCTCAAGCAGTTGGAATTTTCGGCCTTTGAGCCCGGAACGGAAGGTATGTCTATATAGCCCGTAATTGCGGCTCCCACGGCCGGAGTTTCTTTTTCAGTGATGGTGTATAGTAATCCGGAGCGAATCTTTATGCCGGAGAGTTTAAGTAACATTGTTACTAGGTCGCGTTATGTCAAGAAACTACAAAAAGAAGATTCCGCGGGATCACGTGTCCGCCTTCAAACGCAGCTCTGTCGTACCGCTCCAAGTGTGCGTCTTCTTCCTGGCTCCAGCGCAAAGATGACGCCATTTTTCGGGATCCTATTTTTGCAATTTCTTGAAAACAGCTCAACAAACGTCATGCGGATAAAATACCCGGATGCCTATCCGTATCCTTTTACTCCACCGAGGAAATTATCCTGCTCTCTGAATGCTCTCCAAATTTTTTTATTTTATCGACGCCATTTTGCGGCCCTATAAAGTAAACCCTTTGATTTGTTGAAGAACTTTTCGTGTTTTTTTAAAGTAGTTTTTTGTCAATTTATAAGGAGGCGATAGATATCAGAACTATAATAAACAGTCATATTCCGATGGCGAAAGTCGAAAATCGCGTACCTCAGATGGAAACGTTGTAAGTCTCCCCTGAATGTTTCATGTTTTTAAAAGTCAATCAACTCTCATTTCCAATTTTAAAAAACTGTAAATATCCTTCACTCGTTCTAAAAAAATCACACAAAATTGCAAAGAGGTATTTGATTAGTTTTACTTGACGAAAATGAAACGTAATTGGAGATATATATTTAAACGACGCAATTGAGATGCGCATTTTCCCCATATACTCATCGAAGTATTTATAATTGCGATGCTGACATACAAAGGAAAAACGCCGTATGAGTCCTCAAGCGTTCTAAAATCCCCTTCAATGTAGAGATAATAAAAGGAAAATTCAAGGATATTTTTGAGTTTCCAGAGTATGTGATTCGGAGTATAACTTACAGTTCCTGAAAATGTCAAAGGAAAATATTCATAGCATTCCTCGAAAATGAATGTTGCATGGGGAGGAATTTGGCAGCACCCGGATGTGTATACGCCATTTGGACTACATTATGCAGTCAGGCACTATAATATGTGGTTCAGGTTATAAACACCATATGTACAATTAGTTGCCTTTGCACATAAGTATTTTTACGGATGAACCAGGGATGGTAGATCCTTATCGCAAAATAATGTCCATTTGGGTATCCTTAGCAAGGCAGTATTAAATCAGAGCATTCAAGAGTAGTGTGGACGAATAGCTAAGATTTTCTTCCACCTCTCAAGCAAAGATATCAATGAATCGCAATTACATGGTAAAATTATGGCTGCTTCATCCGAGTGTTGTGTATGTTGCCTAATTACTGATCGAGGGAACACTTTTGATTGAAATTCCTTGCAATACAATTGAAATAAGGTGCAATTTTTCATTGCATTGGATACTGCCTCTCTTCTTGACATATTTTTTTGATTGTTTAAAATTGGCATTTTGACCGAATGATGTGATAATATTCAAATTTTTTGGTAAAAACATTGCAATATTATCACAATTATATTTCAATACTTTCAATGTCTTGTACTACTTGGGTGCCTCTGATTACTTACGGCCGCTCATTTCAAACAGTTTTTGAGACCAAAGTGTCTAAAAAGTACTCACAAAATAAGATTAGTGAAGAGGTCGTAGTTATTATCTTTCAATACATTTTTCAACACAGGTTCGATTGCAGCCACTAATCTTTTATAATCCTCCATAGAATTAATTTCATACGGTTGCCGTGGTGTTCCCCATACAGGGAGCGGTAAAGGATGCATTGCGGACCACTTGCCTCCGCTCACCTTTAGCCAACGAACATAGCTATTTTCTAGGCGGAGTGGCCAGCTCACCTCTGACCGACCAATTTGTCGGTAACGATGTGTATAGATCCAGTCGATTGGTTGATTTACACAAACCGATTCTCCACTCTCTGCAACAACCAAAAAAAGGATTCATGTCATTTCCTTTCCAATAGAAAGTATATCTCTTTTCATTTTGACACAGGAATGAGAAGAGCGAGGGTATTTTAGGAATATATATTTTTTCTCCCCACATTGAATTGTCCAGTTTTCTTGGCGGTTTTGGGTTTTAAATGAGCTATATCTCTTTGGAGCTATTTCTCAGAGTTCACTGCAAAAGCTTTCACTCTAAGTCTTATTAGAATGTATCTGATGAATACGTACTCATGAGTTCAGTGTGGCATTTATTTCTAGATTTTGTCAAAAAAAAAAAAAGAAAGAAAAAATTGAAACGGCACGGTTGGCATTCATATATGTTTACTTACCGGCAAATTCTACCTTAATTTCCAAAACATTTTTCTCAAGTTTATTATCATTAATGTAAACTTCGAGGGATTCCACGTCATTCCACCTTTTATTTGAGTCCGGTAGAGTTGCCAGATTTTGCAATAAATGTGAATATTTTTCATGGGTTTGAACATGGAAAAGTGTTAAAAAAAAGCAACTTATCTGGCAATAGTAGAGTCTGGGAGGAACAAGAGGCTGCCTTCCTGGGAAAATCCATGATTTGACGGAAATGTCATGAAAATAAATTGGTTCCGTTTGAAGCATCAAATGTATTCTAGGGAAAGCTATTTTAAAGTAATAATTTGTAAATGAAATTTACAAATTATATTAATTATAATATATAATATATATACAATAAATATACAATAATTTGTACTTGAAATTTATATGCAATGAAACTATAAGAAACAAGTGGCCTCATAGCGATTCGGGACTCGAGCTATACTATTCCACCGATAATCTTCTTGAGAAGTAAAGATGAGCTTATGTTCCTTCAGGGAGTCAGATCGCGGAAGGAGATCTGCACGGTTGTCACTCTCCTCCACTGGATGGGACCGACGTCCCTATCAAATGCGTTTTTGAAGAAATGATCGATCCCCATCCCATATCGTATTTATTAATGAGCGAATGATGGCACGCTCCGGTAACAAGGTTCTGTGACAAAATCATATTTGTCTTGAGAGTCTCCAAAATGTATACATCATGGTGAATAAATGTGCAACTACTCAGAAAAATGGTCCGCGGAGCGAGCCGAATGTCACTCGCGTCGGGGCGGGGGTCCGGGGGCGCACCCCTTGGCTATAGCCGAGACGGACGTGCGAAGCGGAAGTGCGAACGGGTAGTTTTATCCTAATACTACAAAATAAAAATATATACCCGCACCTCTCTCTCTGCCGAATGGATATAGCAGTGGTGACTTTTGAAGCTCATCCGCCGTGTAGAAAACAATAGGTTGTATTCTTTTTTCCGCAGCCTTCCTTAGTAAAAGGGTTCTCGCTGTGCTTAACTCTCCGCTGTTTGCATAATTTTCGTATAAATTGGCAACCTTTCGGACGATACAGGCAAAAATGGAAATGATTAACGAATAAGTTAATGGTAAAGTGGCGCTTATTGATATAGTTTTTTTTTAATTCCGAAAATGAGGTACTAGGAAAATGGGCCGTTTTTATAACACACCTTTTCAGCGATGGATCAAAACGTGTTCCAGGCCACCATAGCTTTCAGGTATTTAATTTTTTTTTGCATAAAAAACTTTGAGGTGTATATTACATGGTCATCAAGAGTAAACTGGGCCGTTTTGACATCACTCACTTTTAAACGATGAATCCTTACAGCGCAGTCATCAGATTTTTGTGTTTAATTTTTTTTTTTTTTTTTTTTTTTTTTTTTTTTATAATTAGTGAGTTTTCTTGGATTGGGCACAACTTTTGTACAAAATCTTATCTTTGTTTTTTCGGAAGATGTTATTGTACGGAGGGCAGCTCCGGTAAGCTCATTTTGACAGGTTAAAATATTACGATTCTTACGAGATTTTCTGAATCGGAGAAAAGATATCGAGTACGTGAACAATACATTGCAAAAAGTACACTGTTAAAAATCAATGATTTAGTCTGAGTGAATAGCCGGCGTGAAAAAAAGAAACCAGCACGAATATCGCGCCGCACTCTGAGTGAATAGATCAGAGCATGAATATTACCAACGACGGACGAATTAGTTGAGCTCCCGCAAGTAGCGTATTTAGGTGCGCCTAACAGGAGTATCGAATAGCAAGGTGGTAGCGCACTCGTTCATCACTGCCGCGAGCCGAGTCCAAATCCAGCTGCGGCAGTTCCGCTTTACGTTTGCCTGTTAAATTTTCACTCCCGCCAGAGCGAAAATTTCGCGCGGAACTTATATCGGATCCATGCACTCAGAGTACCTAACAGATGGTCAAAATAGCAACTGAGTAGGCGTGAGTTTCGCGCCGGGATTTTTAACAGTGTGGTCATAGATCAAAAATGTGTCCACTTTACCCTTTGCCAGTGTATCTTACCTGCTCGTCGAAAGTGTGGCTTATTTGTTTCTTCAGAGCTTTGGATGGTGAACAACGGCACTGCACAAGCCGATACATAAACGGTGTTGAGGCCGCATGAAAGTCTTGTCCATCTCGACTCAAGTAGTAGCCTTGAGCATCGTTGCAACTTCTTCTGCATCTATTCAAAAGCCCCCGACTCATCCATTGCATGCAACCTTGATTACCGTTTGAAACAGGCCAACGAAAAACCAACAGTTAGAGGTGATCTAGATTAGACATACTGCTGGCATTACATACAATCAGAGACCCCTACAAAAAGGGAATGTTAATTGTTAACCCCGAAACATCCCTCTGTCATATAGAGGTCTTTCAGCACCCCCTCGTTCTGGGTTTTGCCGCTTTTTGCAGGATATTTACACTTCATGTCGGTTTTCTCTGCGACTTAGCGACACGATTTTTTGTGTTTGATGTAGTGTAGCTATGTTTTTCCCCAGTTTCCAGCGTGCCAGAAGGGCTCGCTTTTTTATTTCTACTTCTTTTACTTACTCGTGTGATTCCAGTGATTTTTTCGGTGATTGTGAGGTAATCTTTATAAAATTGTTTTCTTCCTAATGCTATACCTAGTATAATTATTATTGAATCTCTCGATTATCCTGAGAAAAGTATTCTTTGTTATTACTCTTCACTCATGTTTAATTGTTTACTCTCTTTTACACATCAATTACTATTTATGAACATGTTTTCTTTCTTGTTGTAAAGCATCATTATTATTTATCATGCAATATAATTCTAAGGGTACATTATTAATTTTTTTATAAATTCTACCTCCTTTTTTGGTTCGGAAAATCGCTTTCTGGCTATCAATATGATATAGTCCCTAGATGAGCCCACTTTACTTATATTAGCCCACGATATATATAGGGAGCCCCCCTCCCCCCAGTCTTACTTATAATGTACGTTACAACACACCAGAAATTTTAAGGTTTAAATTTGAAAAAATACTCCAACAGACGATGAGCAGGAATCTAGTTTGGTTGTATATCGCTATGATATGACTGTCAAAGAACATGCCTTTGGCTTTTTTGTGCCCTCTTTTGGGGTAACTAAGAAAGTTTGTTCAAATGTGGCCTAAACGAGTTTTAGGCTCGTTTTGGGAATACAGATTCACAAAGTTTACATATTTTCAAAATTGAAAAATGCCAATATTTTGAAGCTTCTTGGTTGAGAAAGTTGATCCCTTTTTATTTTCCGATGCTCACGAATGCTGATGATAAACTCAAGCTGAACTTTCACTATAGGATTGTATCAGCAAGAGGTTGCATTTAAGCCACATTAAAAAAAAGTACCCGAGTTCTCCCAAGAAGGGGAAATTTTTGACAGGATCTTTGTTATATCTATCAGACACGCCAACTACTGTCAAGACGTTTCATTTGTCACCGCGGTAAGCACAAAACGTAAGGAATTTGTGGTCACTTTATCCCTCGCTAGTTATTATCTCCTGGAAATCTAGTTGCCACGGCTAGATTTCTGACGGTGCCTATCAAATCCAATCAAAAACCTAGTTGACAAATCAAGTAACTATACATAACCAACGTCAGCTTAACTGCATTTTACGCAGCCAAATTATCTCCTAGGCCTTTAAAGTCTCAGCAAATTTTTCCAAGATTATGACGTACGCACAACATTTTGAATCACAAAGTTTCAAGTTTCAATATTGCGTAGCTTCATGCTTAAAATATAAAATCTCAGATACAGTTAGACAATGTCTGATCCGGTTAAGCTGATCCGATTGAATCCGTCTAATATTGTTCTAAATTAGACTTAAACATTTAAAATTACCAAAAGGATCCAAAAATTGGAAATTAGTTGGACCAGGGTGTGGAGGATTTAAATTATTATACAAGAATGTTTGCTAGAATATAAATAAAGGAAATAACTAACCACTTGGACTACATCTCCTTGGACCCCACCACTTTAAACTTCCTGCTGATAAACACAACAGATCTGTGGAGAAAAGCACAAGTTTTAGCTGTTAGGAATGATCATAGCTTTAATTTTGGGTTGATTCGAGTAGATCAGGAATAAACCACCCAACTCACTTTGAAATCAAAACAATGAAATTTGAAGTCTTTTTTCATGAGACTCGACGTGAAAAAATAACTTAGAGTCCGAACTATTCCACCCTGATGTTACATATGGATTATGAAATGTTGATGGGTAAAAGTTTAGTGCTGGTTTGTTAAAAAAAACACTTTCAAATAATCTCCTTTATAAAATCTATCATTTTTCGTGTATTTTAAGAATAAGGTTTTAAGGTGATTCGATGGACGCCATATTTTAAGTCAGAACGGCATGCGATATATCGCATCAATTGGTTCCATTTTTTCAGCTCCTCGTCATTTTTCTCCAAATTTGAGATCGCAATTCTGTTGTCAGGTGACTTAAGCACTCACTTACCAATTTCAACAAAGAAATTCAACGTAATAAAGGTGTGGTTTTTTTAGAGAGAAAACATAGCATTCGAGTGCAGTTTCGATATCAGTATCGAATGCGATGTTTTCTCTCTAAAAAAACTACGCCTTTATTAGGTTGAATTTCTTTGTTAAAATTGGTAAGTGAGTGCTTTAGTCTCCTGACAACAGAATTGCGATCTCAAAATTCAAGAAAAATGACGAGGAGCTGAAAAAATGGAACCAATTGATGCGACCTATCGCATGCCGTTTTGACACAAAATATGGCGTCCATCGAATCACCTTAAGGAAAAGTTCTCCTCCAAGAAAATCTTCCTGTAGCCGTGATCAGAGCCAGGAATACATTGTAGGGAAGAAGACAGTATAGAAGGACACACCTTTCAGGAGGGCCCGGGGGAACTTATCCAACATTTAAAGGGAAAAATTGAAGAAGTTTCCAAAAAATTACGTTGACTAGATATTTTTCCAAAGTAAAAACAACGAATGTCAGGAAGTCTGTAATGTTGCAAACGGAGATACGTGATCTCGCACTTTGCAGGGTCATCAACACGACCGTCCACGGAAAAAAAATCCTCGCTAACAAAAACTCAAATTGGGCGTTTAGACAAAGTATAAAATTAGAGGACTGCGCAATATGTTTTCTTTTCAAATCTTACTCTATAATATGAAATTACATATCGACGGTGTAAGTCGGCATGCAATCACCTAACTCGGAAAACGCGATTTTTCAGGAGACGAAAAAAACGCTATACATTCCTTATCTTTTAAGGTAGAGGGGAAATATTTCTTGAAGACAGCAAGGGTAAGATGCTTTATAAGACTCTATCATAATTTCGAATATTATTCTCGTCTATCAGGAAAAATGGCCGAAAAACCGAATAATGCGTTTGTGGAACTATGGTCCAACACCGACTTTCGAGATACGTGTTTGGCGAATTAATGTTTCAAACCTATTCTTTGCTGATGTTAACTAAATAAAAACTCAATATAGAGTTTAACAGGATTGTGATTTTAATTTGCCTCTTAAAAGGTTCAGTTAGTCCCACAGCCCACAGCATGGATGGAGCATCCTGCGTTGCGAATAATATGGATTATCGGATACAATAAAAAACTCGGATCTCATGGTTGTACTGGTACAAAATTGAAAGGATGGAAAAGGAACCGGCATCTCCAAAAGTATTATTCTTTATTAAATCTTCTTCAATGGCGTTCCTAAGTGATCAAGTGCCGTCAAATATCCACGTATTCAACACGGATACCAAAAGTTTACTCCCCTTTCGTCTAACAGCGACTGTCATACCGCCCATAAAAAGCAATGTGACTTCGCCCATTTTTTATTTATTTATTTTTTTTTTTATTTTTTTTTTTTATTTTTTTTTATTGGAAAAGGCATGACTGGCGTCTGAGTTTTGACAGCCACTTTAAGTATCCTCTCACTTTAAAAGTATCCTAACGTTCCTTTTAACAAACTTTAATTGGTAGCGAATCTTTAGAATGACACCTGAAAACAATTACGATTGCTCGGACGATTATTTGGTTATCCGTCGGATTAGATGTTAGATGTTAAAACACTAACAATGTTGCTGTTGTTTGCAGATTTCGTGACGTACTAACCTTTAATTTCCCCCACTAAACTGTTCACGATTCTTCCCGGGAGAGCGTGCGTTGTGTAAAAATGCGGCGCGACGGCACGAGATATGTGTTATTGGAATTAACGCCGAGATATGTGTTTTGACTTCTACGTTTTCAGGTGACTTCCAGATTTTTTTCGACTCAAATAGTTTGATAGCAGGTAAATGGCATCTACTACGCTTCATTTCTTCAGCTAACTCAAAACCGCCAAAAATCGAGTTGTGTGATTGGCGACTTAGACCGTCGATATATGGACCAAATTTTACAGGAAGGAACCAAGCTGCATCCGCTATTGCCAAGTTTTACTGGGCAATTAAATTTTTTACGAGGGAACGTTTGTTCGGATTTCTTTGAAAATTTTAAGGAATTTGCTTCGTACCATGGAGAATTTTCACTGAAATTTGCGCGAAAATCCGCATGACCGTTTTCATGTAAAAAATTAAATTGCCCGATTAAATTTGGCAATAGCTGATGTGGCTAGGTTCCTTTCTGTTTGACGCGGTCCATATAAGAGTATGCGCAAGGCATGACGCCTTGGGCGCGAGAGACGCTTCAGGGGGCTGGTCCGCGAAACGGTCACCAATAAAACAAAACAAGTCACACAACAAGAAGTCTAGAAATCAACTCCTGTATGAGGTCCGAGTTTTTACAATTTATATTAATTAAATGACAAAAATACAAGTCAAGGCATTAATATAATCTGACTCCCATTTGGGCTGTGTTAAAAATATTTCTCAATATCTCGTTGAAGAGTTGATTTCCCACCTTCCCGTGATATCAAGTTCTTCATACAAAAACACAGAGAAATTTTCTAGAAATATTTCATAACCAAAGACGCCTACAGATGTCGATACACACCAGAATTCAGGCTACAATTATGTTTTTACAAAACGGATTTTTTAGAAAAAGCTACGCAGAATTTTGATTCGATTTTACTTGTTTATCAATCCATCACGAGAAATATTTTTCTACTCGGAAAAATCAGTAGAGCAGTGTAAATTTCAGGTAATTTGAAATGTATGAATTTGAATAAACCTAAGCGTAGAAAGGGTCAGATTTTAAGGTGGGAGTCCGCGATGAAACAAAAGTAAATTTTGACTTGCCTGGCTGGAAAGGTGATAGCAGAATAGTTGCTGGGACCAAAAATATGAGGCTGAACCTCATCTTGAACTTGATTGCTTCCGACTGGAATATCCTCCACTTTCTATGTTGTTTTGGCCTTCCTGAAACTGCGCGTTCAGGCTCAGGGAACGATGCCGCGATTGCGCTTTTACAGTCGCAAACATGACGCTCGGAAAAAAGAAACGCTGATAAAAAACCGACAGGTTTCGATGATTTCCGTATGATTTGAGGGCGACGTCGAGCTAGGTTGAAGAAATAGAGAGGGGTCGTGGATTCCAGTGAAATCCAACGCAATGTGTCGAAGAGGCGCGTCATTGACTCGCACATCCCCATTAGTTTTCATTTACAGAGATTTCAAAACAGGCAAGCAGCACAACAAGAGAACTCACGATCTAACGATGCGAGGCCAACTACGCACTTCGACGAGATCCTGTAATTAAAACTTGGAAAGCTATTTGAAAGAGTTTAAGTTTTTTGATCTGCCTCAGGCAAAAACTTATCAGCCTCTTAAAAAGCAGTGTCTACTGAGTAATTTCTGCCAAAAGAGAACAAATTCTGTCGAGCTCCTTGAAAATAAAGTCGATTTAAAGGTATTTTGGGGATATGACAGCCAAATCATCGGTTGGAAATCCCGTTATACAATTGAAAAGAAATTGACTCGATATCCCTGGTAAAAATTGGCAGTAGAATCTGTGTTCCAGAATACCATAGACCTACAGCCGGCTGTAAGATTTCCAATAGCTTCTATAGCCGGCTACACAATTTCTTATAGCCTTTTATAGCCGATGGCGACTAAGCAACAGCCAGGCGATAAAGTGTATGCTAAGCGTTACTATTTACGGATGCTAGGACTTTGTGAGTTTTTGGAATACTGCTTTCTTTTTGGGCCGTAGTATCTTGACTTATTTTGCGAGGAAAGCTCCGTACTTTTGATGGATACCTGCCATTACTAATATATTAGAGCGCCTTCAGTTTTGTATGATACTGTGCAATACCTCTGGTGTGAAATAGTTGCTTCAAGCGCCGCGGCACGCTGCGGCGAGGCAGGCGGGCAGCCAGCGCGAAACGCGCATTGGCGCTTACAAACCTAACAGGGATACTTCACGCGCTGCACAATGCGTGAAGTATCCCTGTTAGGTTTGTAGGCGCCAGTGCGTCACCGCTCCGCTTTGTGTTAGGCTCTAATATTTAATCTGGCGGAGTCAGCGTTATTCAACTCATGATTTTGAAATGTTTGCACACTCTGTATGGATTATTCTCGTTTTAATTTATGAAAAAATTATGTATTAAAGGAAAATATAATGTGTGTTTTGTCAATATTAAGGCGGTTCCGTATCAAACTTAATGATTTCCAAAGCACACGAATTTCTACACAATTTTTTATAGCCTTTTATGATCGATGGCGAAAAAGCAACAGCCAGGCGATAAAGTGTAAAGCCCAGCGATAGGAAGTATAGCCCGGCTGCATAATTTTTTATCGCTTCGTATAGCCCGGCCGTATGATTTTCTCCGCATTCTACAGCCAGCTATATGATTTTCTGCAGCCTTCTTCGGTCGGCTATAAGAATTCCTATGGTATTTTGAAACGCAGCTCTTATCGCCAATTTTTACCAGGGTATAATTGCAATTGCCTTTAATATGTCTTAATTTTGTTATTTTTAGCATCTTTCCATGCAAATAAGTTCAGCCATGTCTGATGCTAAATTCATTTGTGAATTGAAAGTTAAAAATTTAAATCCCGAAAATCCTCGGATCTGCCGTAAAAACTCGCAGAAACTCGATATACCAGGTCGACATAACCACTCGTTCATTTTATAAATCAATTCCATGAGTGGAAGTAGGTGAAAATTTATATGCTTTAGTCGTCTCGGGATGCATTAATTTGTTCGTGAATCAGCAGTAACTAATTTCAATCCGAAAAAACTATCAATTTTCCGTATAAAATTGAAAAAATCGACGTAAAAAATCGGAAATGTCGACTCCCTAATGTGAAAATTCAATTCTATGTATAAAAATACATGATAATAATAACAAATCAGCGGGGCACGGATTTATAAGTATTTAAAAAAAAAAACCAAAGAACGGAGCCTGTACATCTCTAGGATTTACAATAAGGAAATATAGACGATGACGAAAATCCATCAAGCTAAAAGATTGAAGCATTAGTAACTTTTTTACAAGCTCTTAAAGATTCAGAACGAGCCTGCCAGTCACTTCTCGGTGAGCAACTCAGGCATTCGATACATGGTATCGAGTAGGGGGTCGAAACGATCGCAAAGGCGGTATACTGCGTATACGCGCAAAAATTAATACTCGTAGATTCAATACCTATCCGGAAGGGTATTTCCATCTACGTTTCATACGGAACCAGAGAGCACTATGAAGACGGTTTCCAGGAATGTTGAAAAAATGACAGCCGTTGAGAATCTTTGACGTCAAACATGATCGCAATCAATCCTATATCAATTAGTGTTTCCAGAAACGTATTCCTGTAAAAAGATAGACGTAAAAAGATAGTGCGCCGGTGATTTTTTTAATGACCTCTGACGTGCTTTCTAAAAATAGAGGACAATATGGGGGAACTTGATCGCCGGCGAAGTACCTAAAAAAAGCCCGCGGAAGCAGAGGATTTTAAATCGCGCACCTATAAACAGGACTTAAAAAATTGTGCGTCCAGGAGTTCATTTCAGATATTCCCGGTGCGCTCAACTGGGTTTCTGTGCTGCTTTACTAGAGTGCCTTTAAAGGGGGAGTATAGCCACTTCAGTTATCACCTCTGATTGGCTCAGCCATCTTATGCTGAATGGAGCCTTCTGGGGCCCCAAATAGGCGGACCCTGTGAGTAAATGCATATACAAAATGACTCGAAATGTGATTTTATTTGCATATCGCAACGAGAACTTTACTCATATGCATTGTTACGACGTATTTACATAGTTTTACAGCTAATCGTTTGCAATTTTCAAGAAAAGTCATCTTAAATGTGATGAGGCTGGCAGCAAGTGCGGTTGGTGATAAGCAGATGATGACCCTTAAAAGTTGGCAATGATCCCCCTCTTATCCTGAAAACCAAAACAAATCGCCGCCATTTTTGGGCAACGATCTAGTAACTATATATGGGGGGATCCTATGCTACGCCAGCGCCAATTGTGAATTTCGTAACACACAAGGAGCAACAATTATATGTAGGTTAGGACCCGGATAGTCGGTTTCCATGGCTCCTTATGGGACTATTGCTAAACAATGACTCACATCAAATTCGCAACCAATTGCAACCAATTTGCGGAAATAATGATTAATTTAGATTAATAAATCCCGAAAACCATTCGCAGCCCGCGATTCTCTCTTAAGCTGCATAGTAGTGCATAGTGTTAAAAAATGCCGAACGGTTCCAGAATGGTTAGCACTTTCCGGCGAACAAGGGGCTCGGAATGACCCGTTCATGGATTGGCTTCATCGGCGCTCCAGTACATTGCGACTATATTGTAATCTAAGATCCAGACGTGAAAGTATGAAACATATAGCTCATATATATATTCTGTAGATTGTTGTTAACATAACAATAAAAAAAATTCTTTAAGTGAGTTTACGATTAAAATTTCAACGCTAAATCGCTTAATGTAAAAACACCCGCAAGATCCCATGTATTCCAGATTATGACGCGAAGATGGCAATTGGTCATTTTCACTTCCCGCCCGTCTATCGAACAACTGCTCCTGGCTGTATCTTTTAAGTGCAACGGACTCATTTTCGTATCCGGAAAAACTGTAAAAATATTACGAGCTTAGCTCATTAGGTACATTCATATTCATACGATGTCGTATATTATTCTCATTCCATCCTCCATTTTTGTTCAATATGGTGGTCATTCGGAAGGAATCCGTATCTTCTTTGTGGAGGTGATCTTCACTCCTCTCTTCTCTTGCTTGGGAGAGAATTTTGCATCACTTTATTTAAAACTCTTGACCAAGGGACGGTCGTACTTGCAGTCATGCAATTTCCTCGTGTAAGTCTTTCGTATTTTCTCCCCGGGGACCTATTTTAATAACGGTCATCTTGAATTTAAGGTACTCTTGGAGGGCTTGTTCAATGTGATGATGTTTGGCTTGCACGGCTAAAATTAAAGAGGCTCTGACATTTTAGCTGTGCTAGTGATGAACTGTGACGAATTTTTTAAAAAAAAATTCGGATCGAATTTTTTTGTCTGAACTTTTCTCCGTGCTGATCTCGGCCAAAAAATGTCGCGCAAGTTTGATGTCGACCATGAAAATGTTCCCTTTTTGTATCTGCTCCTTTTTTGTCACAAAATCAGAACTAGTGCCAGTTTCACATTCGACGTTATTGCAATACTACGCCGCAACACGCAATTTTTAAAAATTTGAGTAGTGGTTTTTTCTCAGATTTTGAACATGCACTAACGTTGCTCTTTCCTTTTTTTTTTTTTTTTTTTTTTTTTTTTTTTTTTTTTTTTGAAGTACCTAACTCTACTCACAGTTTGGGGCCAAAGATGTAAATGAAAAGATGAAAGATGTACATGAGGAGATGAAAGATCTTCATGAAGATGCGCATGTCAATGAAGAGTACATAGATAACATTGATCATTAACCCTTACTCTAGTGTGATCGGGATTGCTTCGAAATGTTATAAAGTTTCATCATCAAACTGGTTGATTATTGAAATTGATAGACGAAGCGGTAGACAAAGAAGATAGAGGGTTAATGGAGTGATCCTATAGGTTGAAACGGGTGATTTTTATCTATTAAAGGGGATAATGATGGACTAATTGTATGGTCACTATTGGTTAGTACATTACTTACTTTCTTTGTCTATTGCAACCACCTACTCACCGATAGTATCACTCCATTTTCGCTTCGTTTTCTTTGTCTGTGTCCAATACGTTCGTAAAAGATGTTGTGCTCCTTCAAGTGATTAAGAACTGAAGGATAGCACGTGGCAACGCGGCATGTTTTGAGCTTTTCGGAGCGATTCTGTCTAAATGGAGGGGAATCAGGAAAATCATATCGATGGCTGAAGTGCGAAACCACTCACCTCCGTTTGCGACGTTGCAAACTTCCTGTCATAATTTAGTTTTTCTTTGGAAAACTAATCGATGTAATTTCTTGAGAACTTCCGTGATATTTCTTTTCTGTTGGCAAAATATTCCACAGAAAAAGCTATACAGTGTTGACTTGTTTCTCTTCGAAAAAATTAAAATAAGAGCA